TATATTCTCAGTCCTTTTGCAACGATTTACAGATTTCATCCTTTTAACAGCTTTTCAAGGCAGAAATAAATCCTCACCATTTTAAAGCTGAGTTGGGGGCATAGCATGGATGAAAGGGCTTCCCTAATTCCCTTGTGACAGTTCTCCAAGGCCTGATCCAGCCAGACCAGCCTTGCTCACAGTGTCAGCTTGCTGCCTACGGTCTCTCACCCCTCTTGCCCTGTTATGCATTATCACAGCAAAGCCTAACTGCAGAATCAGACAGATGTTTGATGGGCCCAGTGCCACTGTACCACTTCTTTTCTGTCACGTCTGTCTGGTCATACAGTCTCTGTACAACATGACTTGAGCAGTCTCCAGATGGGCAAGGCTGAAAACCGCCACCCTGACAAGCCTATCTGAATTGCTCACCTTAACTCCTGTCAACGCCGCACATCAAACTGGCGCAGATGTGTCATTCAGTACAGATTTGGCACTGCTTCATTTTGCCTTCCTTCCCTTTCTGTTAAAGCGTAAGATCCAAGACCCCTTGACTCCACATGGGAAAAGTCTGGCAGCTACCAAGCTCTGGAAGTCCTTGCCAAGAGCAGCATCTGACTCTGTGCCCAGATGCCTGGCTGCTCTCCTACGGCACCCTGGGCCATTGCACTATCGGCTGTGAAATTCTTTTTGTGGCTAGTGCAAGGTTGTGGCTCTGATTAGATTTCTATGTCCATATTATCACCACTGTTCTGTGTAACGATCTTCTGCGCTAACCAAGCTGCCAGACACCGGCACCGTGCACATCTGCTAGCGACCCCAGGAGGTGTTCTCTGAATTATTGACCTGTGTTACAGGAAGGGGAGGATGCTATTTATAAATTTTAAATTATTTCCATATATTTGCTACTTTATTTTAGTTCTGCACCAAATAGGCCAATTGCATATTTTGATTTGTGTTCTCTTGTTCTGCATCGATAGCATCTCTGCATCTGTTTGTAGGTCTGTACTTGACGTGTATACATAAACTTTGCAGCAGCAGACGATTTCCAGTCTAAGGGAATTGTTTTTTCTGCTTCCTTTGCAGCACCTGGCTTATAGATAGTGCAAGGACATGAACCTAGTGCAAGGAGGTCACAATCAAAATTGTGGGGTACAGCCACTTGCCCATGCCTTGTTGTCGTATAAGCCCTTGGGAACTGTAAGCTGTCTGCATAGCTTAAAATTTAAAAAATAAAATGAAATAAAGAAACTCCACAAAGCAGTACTAAATTTCACTACAGCAATGTAGAATAAGTCCAAAATAAACAGTAATTGGGACACCAGAGAACACAGTTCTGTATACATCCATACAGATCTGTCAATGCACTTACGATTTTCAAAACTGAGTAGGTACACACAGGCACAGAGGTTTATGTTTAACCACCTAAAAAATAGTCTGACTTTCAGAACTGCTGTGCAATCAGCAGATCCCACTAAAGTCAGAAGTAGGAAGTGAAACTTTGTATTCTGTACTTTTATTTTTTTTATAGTGCTTTTCTTAATGAGTCTATTCTAAACCTTTTGCTAGCAGAGCCCTCAAAAAAAATGAACAAAGAACAGTCATCTTAACTGTACTGCAATATACTCTTACAATAAGTAAAAAATGTGGTGGGAAAGACAAAGTACTACTTTCACAATATCCTGTGCCAAATCACAGGTTATACGATTCAGTTTTTTATTTGCACAGCCAACAGTGCTTTGTAGAGCAATCAGGGAAGATAATACAATCCATTTTAAATTCTCATTACTTTAGAAGTGTTGAATCTTCTTAAATTGTTTCGGGGTTAATTGAGAATTTGCAGTTTTACAATAGACTAGGAATTGTTTAGGCCGCCCTTGTTTCATATTTTTGTGCATACCTTTGTTGCAAAGTTATAAAAACAACAATAAAAAAGGAAACAAAGAAGTGAAATGAAATAATGATTCTGCATTGTTACTATTCTAGTAACTCATTTTTAGGGGAGATAAAGCTGAGGTATTGATTAATGTTTAAATGGTTATTAAGTGGAAGGACATGTTGGGTTGATGGAATGTCTCACTGTGCGCTAGCGTTTGCCTTTGTTTCTTTCCCACATATTCCCTAAGGGATAATTTCTGCTCCTGGGGAAGCCAGTGGTGAAACTCTGAGTGACTTTTGAGGGAGCATGAATAAGCCAAGTATTTTCTGTATTTGTCTCTTTTTCTCATAAATTCCAAAAGGTTCTGGTTTCCAAATTTGTCCTTTAATTGATTTGAACATAATAATTGCTCATAAAAATGTAGACTTTTTCATGGCTGTATACATTGAAGTTTTGATCCTGAAACTGGCTGCCTGAACACCAGTGTGTTCCTATGTACCATGGAAAAGTCAGTTTGGTTTAGCAGCCCGGAGGAGGTTGCATTTTTCAAGCCTGAAGCAAAGTCTTGGTAAAGAACAGCAGTCATGTGGACAGTGCTGTCTGTTAGCACCTCTGAAATTAGCCATCGTCGTCTTCCGTAGGATAGCATTACTTCCCCGGGGGCACACCAAAGAAATTTTGAGGCAACTGATGATTTTTGGTGAGAGGTATTTCTCTGATGAATTAAAAGAGGGCTTTCTGCTAAAAGCAATTTTGTTTTTAAAAGACAAAACTCAGTATTTTTTCCTTGGACTATCATTCTTTTGAAATAAGAGTAGCTTGTCACTCTTTGAAGTATAATGTCAATCTATAGAATAGTTTATTTAAATGGACCTGAGGGCCACATGGTAAATTCATAGGGATTCTGGAGCTCTGTGCTTTCTAAGGCATAAATTCAAGTCTTGCTCTGGCTCCAGCTAATCCAGTTATAATGGATACCTGAACTGTGGGGTGGGAAAAGATGTCTGTTTCTGTCTTGTATTTCTCAGGCCTGAGTACCTGTACGTGCACTGCCTCATTTATGCATGAGGAAACCAATTTGTCTGGAAC